CAAAAGTCGATGCTTCCAGAGTGTTTTGGTCGCCCCGTCATGTTGACTCGTCCTATCTAATTAATTAATGAACCTGTACCATTGGGCTCTTTATTATCCGCCGTGGAACTGTCAGAGAAACCGTGCGCGGCTTTTTCCCCGATTGCATGGGCGCCAGCAGCCGCGGTGCGGTTATTTCACTGCACCTGTCGTAACCCTATGAGCCCGGACGCGACTGTAATAACGCGAGTAACCGTCCATGTCAAATGACACCGAGTGACAGAGAGCGCAATTACTGGGAGCCCATCCTAGAAAAAAAAGAAAGAAAACTACGTGAACCCGCCGACAAATCCAGCTTTTTCTCAACTCAGTGAAAACGAATAGTCTGCAATTCGCTGAATGGTCAGTCATCTATAAATCGACGACAATTGTCGGGCTTATACTTCAAACCCACTTATGAGTAATCTCACGTCGTAGAATATTTTCTTTGCCATCGAATACAGTCTGCTGTCTTTGTTCGTCTTCCGTAAAACGTTTCTGCTTCGTTAGACACATTATTATACAATAATAAGAGAATACGTCAATATTCTCGATTCTGCGCGAGATGTTGCGTGTAAAACAAAAGGGAGGCGGAATATAAAAACACTACCGTGTGCGTATTTCGGCAAGTACGAGATGTCTGCGAATCTTTTGGCTGTTTCTTCACTCGTCACCGTGTATATCACTTTATGCATGTGTCGTATTTTGTACTTTGCTATCTCTCTTGTGGTCGGGAGATGCAGCTGTTACTTGCGATATCTTCGCAAGAGATATGTTAGCGGAGCCACAATAAGTCACACGTAAGAACGATTATCATGCTCATGTAACAGACAGTATGTGTAAATTAATGGAGTCAACGACGATTCTAAACGAGAGAGTCCTATAACGTCTAACAGAACTATGCTAACATTTCCCGCGAAACACACAAACTATATGTTCCACATTAACATTCGCACGACATCATGTCGACGGCGATGACGAGGCACGAGGGCGGTACAAGTAAACACCAAAATAAGGTCTTAGCCGCGTAACGATATTATGCAAAACTTAATCTTTACCTTAATAATCTTTCCCCCCTCTCGATCCTGTGAGCGCGTTCCGCTATTCCTAAGAAAACACGCCGTTCATTATCTCGTCGAATGACGCTGCATGCGAATTCATTGTGCAACCAACAAAAGGACATTTCTTGATATCTTGCGCCCGCTTGAGCGAGCACTTGCTTTAATTAATTTCGCAGCGGCAGCTAAGACCGAAGAGCTTATAACGAGCTTTTCCATGCACTCCAGGGAGTCCCTCTCTCTTTGGCTTTCCCAGAACTCGCCTTTATATATCATCACGGCTGTCTTCGTATATCGAGATTCGAGAGCGAGCATCCACCACACACACATCCACACACACACACACACACACACACACTCCGTGTGCACGTACATATTATTCTACGTGTATCGCATTGTTGGAACTCTATGAGGATAAAGCAGCCGCACCTGCGGCGCGTCTCAGTGGAAAGCTAATGAAGTGCAAAGTTTTCCGCGTAGTCAATCAGCTCTCCCGCTTGCCCGCTACGAAACATCTGCGTTAATTAGAGGGGGATGTGGTCTGTCGTTTCCATTTGAATGCGCCTTGACATCCGACTAAAATACAACTCTACTTTCCTCTTCGGCCACCTTTCGGAGGGGAGTAACTTGTGCCATTTCTATCGCGAACGAAAAGCGCAGCAATCTAAATCGCGTTTGCGCGAGAAGACGCGCGTTCTACCATCGCGGAACCGCAGACTCGCGCCAAATTGTTCGAGGGAGCTTCAAGAGCGAGGAAAAATGCCGCTTTTGAAACGACTTCTACGCGTATCAGATCTCGCGAAGATGCCAGACCCCGAGGAGCTATGCTGTCGTCTTAAAGCTCAACGCTTAGTTGCAAGATGTAGTGGAAAGAGACAGAGAGAGGGGGAGAGAGAGAGAGAGAGATAGAGAGAGAGAGAGAGAGAGAGAGAGAGAGAGGGAGGGAGGGAGGGAGAGAGGGAGCGAAATGCTACTACATCGCAGCCCGTCGAGCTATTGTCTCGAAAATGGCACTGCTATTATCATTTGTGTGATGTATTATAGGAAAAACAATGAAGAGAGATTTATCTTAGCCGGAAGAGGAAGCCTTTACTCGTACAGTCCATTCTTTACCTAATTCACTCTTAAGCCGAAGCGTAATGAGCTCTGATCTAATCTAATTCCATCCAATCCTTCGCTGGCTATAGATACACCCCGCAGCTATTACGATTCTCTGATTACTCAGCTATAGATACTTTGTATGCACTTGGCTGGCGAAGCTACTCGCTCCGCCGAGAAGTCCGTCGAGACGAATCTTCGTAAGAGAGGAGTCGTCTTCGGGCACTTTGAATTTCGATTCCCGAGAATCGACTCCGATTGTGAGCGAGTCTAGGTGTGTGTCGAGTCTCGGCGATAAAATAACGGTAATGCCGAATGCGAAACGAGACTCAAGATGAGAAGACACTCGGCGGCTACTATTCACCCGCGATCGCGATTCATCTGAATCGCGTCATTAAAATATGCAATGGGGATTAATGTGCGTTACAGTTGAAGCAAGGTCTGCTGAGCAAGAAGGAGCGTATTACGAGACGGTTCGAATACCGAGCTCGCGCGATAACGCAAGATATATCCTTCGCCATTAAATCCGGAATATGAAGTGGAGTTAGTTTCAAACACTAAGCAAACACTTCTGTTACTTCGGGACATGTATCGACCGTTCCTGAGTGCATTTCTAACTTAACAACTTGCAGTGCGCAAAGTGCGCGGGTGCTGTAGACCATTTTGCAGCATCTCTGAACGGTAACTATAATGACGTCACACAGCATGTATAACCGCATCGAGTATTCGCGACAATTGCTTGCGTTTCGTTGATTATAATTGGAACAGAACTGAATAATAAGGATAAAAGTCTTCGTCCTTGCGTGAAGTTCGCTAAGAAGCTTCGAGCGTGCATCCAACTTTTGTTTGCTCATTGTGTCATGTATTCGCAGACATTTCTATTACATACCAAGTTTCAAACAATACACACTTTTACAATCTTAATTGGAAGTTTCGGCCCGATTTTTTACGATTAGCAGATTACGATAGTAATTTCAGTAAGTATAAGCAACTTACTTCTATTTCTTCGAAATATTCAGTAAACTTTGTTTCCAAAATGTAAATTTCATCGTCGCTGTCACTGACGATAAAGAATCGTTAAAAGCAGAATAGCTTGGCAGGTTTATCCTCTGTGATAAATTATGTATCGTCAGCTTAATGATGCATAATCCACATTTGTGGATTATTTAAACTCGAATATTGCGATTGACGCGTGAGCATGATACATATTTCCCATAAAACGAAATCACTTCGCTTATCATCGCTGAAATCGCGCCAGTTAGCGTGCAGGTCACGTATTTTTGGCTTTAAGTAAAACGATTCCTATTTATATGCTATTAGATCATTCCATTTCGTTGAATGTTAACGGTATTTATATCGTTGTTACGTGTCGCTCCCCAAAAATTGATATTTACGGCCACACGCGAGTTCCATTCGGAAATCGATGGCCTGCAGTTTGCTGGAACGAATCCCAAAAATTGTTCATCGGTGCACGCCACTTTCGCGGGTGTCCCTATTAAAATGCTCGTTGCCTTGCCTAACGTGAATACGTGGGTGACGGCTATTCGCGTTGTTCTCGCAATTTCGCGCATCGAGTGGTCCTTTTAACCGTAACGAAGGGAAAGACGCGTATCCAGGGATAGGTGTAGCGAAGAGCGAAAGGGTTGAAGAGAGCGAGAGGAAAAAATCGTGATAAAAGAGGAGCTTTGCACGCGGCAATTCCATTTTATCAACATTGGAGGTTGAGCCGTGCGGAAACGCAACCGACGCAAAAACGGGCGATGCCTTTTTCGAGTCTGAAATAATTTTTGGTGATATGATAGATGAGAATATTAGAGCGAGGTGTAACCCGATATCATAATAAATAACTTTACTCTTCGGTGTTATTCAGTATAAAGAAATCAGAGAGGAAAAAAGTGGTTTCATTAAAATGGATAGAAAGGACACGCAATGTAAATATCGCATATGTTTTGTGTCGACGATTGGAGTGAAGTCCAAACTTTTTATACGAACATACCTCTAATATCTAGACTACATCGTAGATGCTCGTAAAAAGCTAGAGCTTCCGCACAGGAAGTATCGAATGTACGCCAGGAATTACCACACATGTATGTCTATTGCCCGTACAAGAAGAGACATCAATGCACGCGTGAACAGTGGCGAATGCGGTGACAGTGAATGGACTGAATCAAAAGCCTCGATTGTCGAGTGAAACACCGACCGCTTTCTATTGCAAGGAATACTCCGATTGTCGCCCGCCGCGCCGTATCAAGTCCGTCCCTAGCCACGTTTGATTTGGGAATATTGAAATAGCTGAAGTCAACGAAAACTCGGCTTTTACGTTATAAAGAGTTTGAGCCGATTGTTGTTGCAACTTTGAGCGATTAGTTCGAGATTGAACGGGCTGCCGAGTATATTGCGTATTTTGGAGAGCAATAAACATTTACGGGCACTGGTGCTTTAGAGTTTTGTTATTCCTCGCTCGTTTGTTTAATGACTGCCATTAGAGACTTCAATTAACTGGAAATTTCATTAATCGCACACCTGATTACGGGATTCGTTTGAAAGCTAATCGATTAGCCAGCGACTGAAAGTAGAACTGTCCACGTTCTAATGCAAATTTGCGCTTCGCGGTCGGCAATTGTCGCCAAACGTATTTCATGATTTTTATGAAGGAAATAAACGCACGACAAAACTAACTTTAGGTTTTACCTAAATATACAAGTATACTCTTTATTAAAATAATTTAAAGACTTTCAGCTGCCTTTTCCATAATGAATGCGTTTTCCGATTAGTTATACTATCGATCTTCGCATCGACTCTATCGGCAAATTTCTCTCGTTACAGACACATTGAGTCTAGGAGATCGGACGATAGATAACATGGACAGACACGCGATGCAGAGCAGACCTCGGCAACAATTGCTGGATCATTCTTCCGGCCAGAAGTCGAGGCCGGATCCCACCTTCGACTTCTCGCAGAACAGCAACGTGACAGCCCTGATTGGAAAAACTGCATACCTCACGTGCCGAGTTCGCAATCTGGGCGAGAAAACTGTAAGAGCTCTTTCTCATACTATATATCTTTCTTCATCCATAAATTATGAAATACAAGACCCAATTCTAAGAGTCTATTTTACCTAAATTTCATGATTCAGAACTCTGATAATTATGACACAGTTTCAGCAACGTCTTCGACTACACGATCGGAAAATGTATAAATGTATAAATTGATTACGATTATAAATCTTACTTTGCATCAGAAGTTCATACATCACGTTAGATTTTATTCAATTAAGGGGAATCGTCATCTTTTGGAATTTGTTAATGCAATATGAGATAAATGCGATGGATTCGTTGCTTCGTTGCAAAGGATAAGGAATTTCATAGCATACATATAATTTAAAACAAAAAAGGCATGGTAACATAGTTAAGTTAAAGATCAGCGCTTTCTATCTTTCTCTCTCGCGGGAGCAAAAGAGGAATCCGGCCCCGTAAGGACCTTAAGAGAAACGATTTGCAGCGAATAATCGAGTTGCGCGGGCTCGATTGGACGTTAATTGACCTTAGAGGTAACTGGAAACTCAATTTTATCGCAGACGCAGTACTACCATTACGATCTCTATTGAAAGGAATCATTAGAGCTGTTAGTCGATCGAATTGATCGACTCTGCGCACGTCATTATCGGCGTAATCTTTCGCATCTGCTCCAGAATACGTGTAATTTCATCGGCTCGGTTTCGTCGAAGAAACACACATATCTGATGCATATCGTGTGACATTTCAATCTCGAATTCACTCGAACGCAATATTTCTCCCGAGCCGGGGCTTCGGTTACGTCGTCCTAACGACGACGATAAAGATCGCCGCAACAACGGTGTAACTTGATACCGATATCAAGCTTTACGAACGGATGAAAGGGTGCAAGAAGAAATATTTCGTAAAATCGATCGTCACGCAAAATACTCCGGGGCTACAACGCTCTTTTTCTCGATGGATTTTTTGCCAAGTTGGAATTAATTTTGCCTTAATTAAAAAAGTCGCTGATGCTTCCAGAGTTTCGAGTGATAGGAAATAAAAGACTTTGCGCAACTTAAATTATTTCAGACGCCGCAAAAGATATAAATAGAGATAATAAAACTTTACTCCGCATTTAATATCACAAGTAGATTTGACTTTGACAGTATTTTATGTTCTTCTAGAACTAGTAAAATGTCAATATTAGAGATAAAGAATTTCAAAGTGTGATCGAGACGAAATTTATACTGTAAACGCAGACGTAAGTAAATTTTGTATATAAAACGAAATGTTTCAGAAAATACTTCACTTGAAAGTACGTACGTTTCATCGTTTCAAATTGCAACAATATAATTAAAACGGTGCAAAGATTTAATTGGAGTAGCGTTCGCACAAAAGTAACGGGCGCAATATAACATGAAAGAAAGAAATTGACTTTGCATCCCTTTATAGTTGTTACGTTTTCGTGGTAATTACGTTTAATAATAAATTGGAGCTTTGCTCCAAAATTTTTTCGCATTTCTGGTTGCCTTCTCAAAGCAATTTAATTATTCGCGCACTAGTGCTTGAGCCATCTCACGCGAAAGCCGATTTACAAATTGGTTAGTTGCCCGAGGCCGCTTGTTGCAGAATCGCGTTAAGTAAATACTCCTGATCAAACCACGATGTTTTAGAAAGTTTAAATGTTCTTCGATAATTAATTCGATAATTAAAGTAAACTCTTTCGATTATTCTTGTTGTTTCGTTTACACTAACGCGTGACATAATTCGACAGAACAGCATAAATTTAGCGATATTGGTAAAACCTGTTAAACGAAATAAAATCAGATAAAATCAGATAAAATCAGATAAAATGATTTTTACTTGTGGGATATAGCGAACAATAAATTCACGAAAAATTCCAAAGAATATAAAAACATAAATAAATTAAATTGAACGAAATGTCGCAAGTAATTGTTAGATTTCGTTAAATACACGATGCAGTGAATGCACATATACATACATATGCGGAAATCGTCAGAAATAAAGAATGCAGGTATATTCTTTTTGCAGATACGTAATTTTGAAAATATGTAGGACATGTAGAATTCAAATATTTCATAATTTAAACTTTAATTTTAATGAGTTTAAATTTTAATGAGTGATTATACTAAATGCAATTTTCCATTTGTATCCTGATGTAATTCTTCTGAAATTGATCAGTCATAATGTTTTATTTATAATGAAGCGCTGTTTTTATTCTCATTCTTATATTACAGTCTTTTCGTAACTTCAAAATTTTCAAATCTTCCAGAGAGGTATTTGATGTTTTCTGGCGATTTATTCTAAACATGTATTTCCAAGTTTATACTTACAACAACTTCAAGAAGTCATGCAATCGGTTGTTTCGAAAAGCGCGCAACATCGACATTACCATTGATTAACATGGGTAGGTTAAATTCAGATACACACTTGACACGTCGCGTTATCATAGGGGAAGCTTTTGATCACACTTTCATGACACAAACGCTCATCTAATTAGCGCGATAGCGGGAATATCGAGAGAAAAACACGGTCGTTGCCGTGCAATGCCGATCATACGAATATCGCAAAAGGGCGAAAAGATGAAATTGCAAAAGCCAAAACGAAATATTCAGCAAAATAATGATGCACTTGAAGCGATACAATGAAAAATAAAGTATTTATATTTTTTATGCAATAGCATAGAAATTTTCTCTTTTTTTCTATCTCCATCTCTTCCACATCGTATTTCAAAATACGAGAACGAGTCGAGTGTTTTCCAATAATATCCCGTTATAATTTTATAATTTCGAGTTTGAAATTTGTACATTACTCAGACTCGCGAATGATACGAGTTTCATTAACGCACGATTATTTTACCACAATTGAAAAACGTCCGCGTTACTCGATATCTCGCTGGAAAGACAATTATTTTCGCGAATTATTCAGATTTGACAAGAGGGCAATAATTATTTTCAGCATTTCAATTTTATATAAATGCACTTGTTGTTATAAAACTGCGGATAATTTGTAAAAAACATGGTATAACAATAGTGCGCAGTGAATGTGCGATGAAAAGAGACAATCAAAAAATGTGTACACATAACGACTCACGAATATATTAATTGTAATACTTTTTTTCACATGTTGTGTGTTTATATCTTTTTTCTGGTTCCATTTGGGACATAATTGCATTTTATGAGAATAAATCCCCGGTGTGTTAAAAAATCATTAATAAATAACAAATGAATACAAGCATAATGGAATCAATTATAATTGGGATTTTGCCATAAAATCCCAAAATTAATACACACTTTGCATATATAACACATACACATACGAATACCAAAGTTGTTTAACATAGTCAATGGGTTGCAATCACTTATTCAAAATATTAGACAATCTCGCCAGTTGCGCATTTATAATTGTAAGTGGAATTTGTAACTTTTACGGAAATTTTTCGTGAACCGCTTCAGCTAGTCCGTCTGATAAATCAGTTTTCGCAAAATTCGAGCTACTTAAAACTTTATAATTACATTTTCGGCGATGGGAACGGTTATGTGTTGCGACAAAATTTTATTAGACTTTCATTGTTACGAAATTTACGATATTCCCATTCCTATCATAATGCCCTCATGGAACAAAGTTCCGATATTGAGATTACGATATTGTAATACCTTATACTTTGCCATGTTGTGATAGACGTATATATATATATATATATATATATATAAGTAAACATGTTCTGCGAGTAATTATATAATTATATATTATTTTTCTGCTATATGCAAAGGGGAGAAAGGAATCAATTTTGTGAAAAATAACAAATGCGATGATAAAAGACATTTTCAAAGCCATCAGGGCTGCACGCGCAGCCCCAACGCATGTCACGTATTTTTGTCGTTCATCACGTGTGTCAGCAATCACTGTGCCGACGCGTCGCCCCGTGAGAGTTAACATTTACATGACAAGAAAGAAAGATATTTTACGGCAACTGAAACCGTAAATATACAGAGGCGCCCCGACCGAGTATCGCCGGACGGATTCCAGCCAAGTCATCGACTAACGGAATCAATATACCGTGCGTTCAGCAACGGGTGCGAGAACGCTGGTGAAAAGAGGACGATTGCGAAAACACAGCAGTGAAATATAAAGTTTACCCGCGGTGTCTGTATACAGGCCGGTTCAGACCAAGCGGCACCAATTCGAAGATAGATAGTCGGTCCTCCTTTTCTTCGTCGAGCCCGCGAGAAATATATTTCAATTTCGATTTCTACGGGACATTTAGTAACGATTGCTGATATCACTGATAATACATCGAGAATGGAGACCCAGAGGATATTGTGCTTGAACGTTGAAATGCCAAACATGGGATCACTTCAATTTCGTTGCTTGCGCAGGGAGAAATTTTCACCGTTCACAGACGGATTCATTCTAACTTGATCCAATCAATTTAAGTTCATCCGATTCAAATTAATTCTAGTTTAATCAGGATCTGAGCTACTGAACATTAACTGTGCAAGCCGCTTTCACATGTTGAGAATGTACAGTGTTTCAGTGTAGATAATAGAAACGTCCCATTTACGGTCAAATTACTTTTTCATTTCTCACACATTGCAATCTTTTCGCATCTGCAAATTCTCAAGAGAGATGTTTGATGTTTCCCGTTTGTGGAAATTTATTCTGCGCCTGGCGCGCAAATCCTATATTTTCAATCGAATATTTTCGACAGCTGCAGAAAGACGCACAATCGAGTGCTTCAAAAAAACCCGCGAAATGGTCGTTGATTAACATGGCTGATTAATGTGAGTAGATTAAATATCAAATGCGTAACAGTATCAAACAGGAAGCTTTCGATCGCCTTTCATGACACAAACGCTCTCGTCTAATTAGCGCAATAACGAGAACACGGGGACAGAAACACGATGGCTGCCGCGCGATATTAATAGCCATCGGAATGTCGCATCGAAAGCCGGATCGATTTGACGAGAGACATTTTTAATTACAAGCTGATCGATCGCGACGAGACGCCGACGATTCAAGGGATCGCGCGCCACGAAAGGGCGCGCACGGCGGCCTGTGGCGGCGCACTTTACAGACAATATGAGAAAGCATTTGCCACATTCCATTCGTCGTGCTCGCGGCGGTTCCGCTTAACGTTCGGCATTCATCATTCCCGACGTCTTCTCGCAGTCTCCATTCGCGTCTACGGGTCGCCCGCTCGTCTCCGATGGATAAGTTAGGAAGCGCTAAACTGCTTTTGTTCCCGTGCAATAGCTACCACTCGCCAGACGCCGCGAGAGACGTAAACTTCGCCGAGTAAATACGCTAAGTGGTGCCAACGGCGGCACATATGTAGACGCGGGGCTTGCAGCGGCGCGTGTACGTGCACACACGCACACGTTTGCCGTCCCGCTCGGTATATATACGAGGTCGGACTCTGTGAAAATATCGACGAACAGCCAAGCGGGCCTCGTTTCCTAAAGACCGCCGTCGCCGCTCCCGCTTGAAATTTCCCGCATCGGGGACGTAAGCTCCACGCCGCGCCGCGCCGCGCCGCGAAGACCGCCCGACGTTAATATGCGTCGAAGTTCCCGTTACCGCGAATTCCAATATCACGGTTTTGCTCGTTGCGCCGAGCCGCGAGAGCTGCCGAGACGGATGGCGCTCCTCTCTGACGGATGGCGGCGATCAATTATTTCGACGCGATTGTTTCGCACGTATACGGTTCTTTGGACGTTTATGATTTAGTGCGCAGAGATGCGTACGCGCTGCGAGGGACACCGGAAGCGCCGACATAGAACGCGCGTTCTTGCGACACACGTTTGTGTACTCTGCGCTACAAAGGGCGAAAGGGCAAACTTGATAGTATGAAAATTATTCAACTCTCAAATAAAAGACGACGCATCCACCCGTGTTCGTTCGCGCGCGCGTATTAACTCTGGAATACACCGGGAGAATCTCGAATGCGAGGAAGTGTCTTGGATCGTATCGTTCAGCGAAATCTTTTTATTTTCCGTTCCGAAGGCTCCCCCTGTGAAAATCGCCAAGAACCCCTCTCGGGTTTCGCACTGACACCGTCGCGTTACGCTCGTGAGAATCTGCTTTGCGTGTGTCGGCGGAGGAAGCGCCGAAACTCACGGGAAAGTTTCTGTATTCCTTCGCAACTTTTCTTACCGGCTACGGCACGGGTCGGTGGTTTTCGGCGTTCCGTGAGCACGGAAATAGACGAATCCTCTCGTTCGGTCCTTCCGTTTCGGAATCGCGGTAAAGTTGGTCAGGTACTGTACAAAGCACTTCGGGACGCGCTAGACTCCGACACAGTGCGCTGGGCTGGGTGGTGAGGGGGTGGGGGTTGAAAGTTATCGAGATAAGCTTCCATTCCGATGAGTATATTTTTCCGAAAGTAAGTCGCTCTCGCTCGGGAGACATTTTAAAGCAACGTATGAAATTTGTGAGCCGTGAAAGCAGAATCTCATCTGCGCGAAGCGGTACGCGCCGCCCCGCTTTGTTATCTCAGGTCAGCGAAGGATGATTTTCATGATCTCTCCCTGATTTTTTGGCAAACTCTTCGACTTTTGGTTCTCTTCGACTTGCCCTTCAATATCCACCGGGTGCACCAGGAGGAATTCGTAAGAGAGAAATGTAGTGCGAAACTTTGCCGCGCCGAAACGCCGCACAGTGGGACATTTCGGACATTTTTGGATAAAATTCTTGTGACAACACAAATCTTCGTGAAACCTAGGAATGGTTTTTTTTTATATTCGGAAAGGCTTACAACAACAACGAGGTACTGCGGAAATTTGATTGCCGCTCCAGGAAAATTAAGAAAAATTGACTGCAATTCAGTGAACATAAAATTCATGAAAAAGAAACAATAACCCGTTGATAGGTTAAAGCTTCTAAGTAATAGTTCATCCGAGATATATATCATGTTAATGGTTTTTAAGGCCGCTAATTACGAATTCAAGCTCAAAATTGCAAAATTAATTTGTTCAAACAAATTGGTTTGAATTAATTTTCCAATTCGAATTTATAATCAGTAACCCCAAAAATCATAAAAGCCATATTCAGTCTGCTTGGTCTTTCATTTAATTCCTTTAAATCGAAGATATTATTTTTTAAGTTCAAAAATTAATCAATAATTATTAAAAATTCAGATGTAAAAGATGTTATTTTGATGTCTTAATTTTGAAATGGAAATTCATAAAAAATATTATTTTACGATAATTTATTTAAACAAATTTGTTTAGACAAATTAATTTTGCAATTTTGAGCTCGAATTCGTAATTAACGACCTCAAAACCCATTAGCATGATATGTATCTTGGATGTACTATTGCCTAGAAGCTTCTGACTATTAAAAGATTATCGTTTCTTTTTCATGAATTTCATGTTCACTAGATTGCAGTCAATTTTTCATAATTTTCCTGGAACGACAATCAAATTTCCGCAGTACCTCCTTGTTATATAAGCCTTCCCGAATATAAGAAAAAAACATTACTAGGTTTCATGAAGATTTGTGTTGTCACAAGAATTTTGTCCAAAAAAGGTCCGAAATGTGCGCCGTTTCTGGAAGCATTGAACTCAAAGTATTCAAAAATCGACGGCACTGTTTATTCTTTAAAGTTTCAACGTCATTCGCACGCCGTCAGACTCATCGGCGAACACAAAAATAATGGATCAAAAGAGATACATGTTCTCTTATTATTAGCGAGTTATTGACAAAACTGCGTGTGTGCGAAACGTCGAGATAAGCGACATTCATTTCACCTTCGCGTAATCGGCGAGGAGGCACGCGGTGTCTCGGGCGCGTCCTTTGTACCGATTATCACCATTCCGAACTTTGTTTATCAAGGTGTCCTGGGTCAGGCACAGGGACATTCACATCCTGACGGCCGGGGCGTACACGTACACGAGCGACCAGCGATTTCAAGCGATGCACAAGCAAAACACGGGCCAAAACAGCGAATGGTCCGAGTGGACCCTCTGCATAAAATGGGCGCAGGAGCGAGACCAGGGTATCTACGAGTGTCAGATTTCCACCGTGCCCGTCAAGTCGCATCAGTTTCGCTTGAACGTGGTCGGTAAGTCGCAGAATTTTATTCGCGATCTCTCGCGCGTTGCTGTTCTCGCGCCGTGTCAGACTTTGGCGGCCGACCCGGACTCGAAAAGACAGTCGGAGTCGCAAATGAAACGAAGTAATTATCCACCGACGCGATTGTCTAACGCGGCACAGCGGTACGCTTAACGCTCAAGACGCATTCAATCGCATTCAGGCCGAGGCTGAATCCGTCGCTACGGAGAATAGCGTCGTCGTCGGTGTCGTGCTCGCGATTTCAATTACACTGACCCCGGCATTTGTTAAGAAGCTTCACCTCGTTACTTCTCACGGATCACGGGACGACTTTAAAGATTCGTTCGCTCATTCCCGCCCCCCCCCCCCACGCCGCCCCCCGCCGTAGTTGGCCAAGTACTATTCCCGAGAGGCTTTCACGCGAGAATCTTTCACGACGCACGAATCTCTGGATTTATCCGGGCGCGCCGAGCGCGAGCAACGACGAGACGGGAGAGCTTCGCTGGTTTAGCGGGAATGAGCGGGGTGGAGAGAAAAGCGAAGGAAAATTCTTCTTTATCGCAGTACCTACGGCGACGATACTGGGCGGACCGGAGCTGTATGTCGGTGCAGGCAGCACGATAAACCTGACGTGCGCCATACACTTCAGCTCGGAGCCACCAGCCTACATCTTCTGGTACTACAATGAGAACGTCCTGAGCTACGACAGTCCCAGGGGCGGCATCTCGGTGATAACCGAGAAGGGTGGCGACGTCACCACCTCTTGGCTCCTTATTCAGACGGCGCAGCCCTCGGACTCCGGGGAGTACAGCTGCAAACCCAGCAACGCCAATACGGCGTCCATCAGGGTTCATGTCCTAAATGGTGAGTCTTTGCTCCTGCGAGTGTACCAGCTCGGCCGCGACGTTTTATGAGCGACGCGAGGCGCCCCGAGTGCGGCGGAACCGCGTGCGCGGGCAACATGGAACGCGCGATGTTGCTCGGAGAACTTTATTCGCAATTTGCTAATTCATAATCATCACTCGGGTGCTTCCTCCTCGTCCCTCAAGGCAAACAACGCGAATGTTTCTCGTGGAGGCGAGGAGACGCACGTTCAAACCGACAATCGTCGACTTTTTAAGCCTGTCGTTCCGTTCTCTCCGGCATTCGTGTCTCTTTTAATCTCGCGTCTTTCAATCGAGTCTTCCCGCGACGCGAAAATTGCAAATGCGTGATTAAATTGCCTACGACTGCGTCGCCCACTTGGAGGATGCGTTTGACAGGACGAAAGCGACAGTATGTCTCGATATTGGTGAATAATGGCGCACTCTGAGGGAAAAATTTTGCTCGATCGTCGCTCGATCGCGATTGCTCGTCGAAGCGAAGCGGATTTCCGGCGAAATATCGAAGCGACGAGGTGCTCTCGTTTTTGCGCGCGATGTGAAATTAGGATAATTTGATCGCATCGAGACCACATCGTACCGCTTTGAGGCTCTTGCTCGGCAGCGAGCTGAAATTCCGAGATCGACCGGCCATTCCGTAAGTTGCAATTTCCGCCCCACAAACTCCCAAAGCGCACGGCGGCTGTCGTCGGATCCGGGCTTTACAGCGTGCAAAATTATTTTATTGGTCGCCGCTGTTCGGATCTTGCGCGGAGGAGGCCAGGCCGCGTCGGCGTTAACTATTTACAGCCGGCTCGTAAACTCGAAGCGTTTCGCAACCGCGCGATCGTTAAAACTACCGCGGCCAATGTCGATGAAAAAAGTACGCAGATAGCGCTCGGTTGGCCGCCGGCTCCGGGTCGGGTGAAATGTCGCTGATAATGATAACGACGCCGATATGAAAACACGCCGGAGTTGACTTAAAATATCACGCTTTCTCGTGTTCTTATCGTTCTCGGCCACGTGAGGCCGCGTGAGCGCGCGCAGGGCCGGGAAGGGCACCGGCTCGCGCTCGCAGCTGTCCCTTCCCAGCTTTCGGCCGCAACTCGCTCTCTCGGAGCTTGCTGCTCTATCGACTCTTAGCAATTATGCAGTCGCCAAGTTGGCGCGCCGGTATGTATATGCGCGCGAACGCTCGCGCGAACACGAATACGAAGCGCGCCGGTTAGGTTTCGCATAATAAGGCCCTTCGTCATGCGCGACGTACGAAGGAGCCGCCGCGCGAGTTGCTGAATGCTTCGATGACCTGCGACCGGCTTGAATAATTTATTAATGAAGCGCATGCGGCAGACATTGAATTACGCCGGTTATGCCGCGGGCTGTTTTTCGTGACGCGGCTGCGGAACAAATTGCTCCGCAATTCGCGGATGTTCGCGTAACGCGTTTATCGAGAACCTGTGGATCGCGAAATGGGACGCAGAAATAATCGAGGCACGTGTATAATCGTGTACCGTCGTGTACAACCGACAACCATTCGTCAAATGTTGTAAAAAGGGAGTGATATTTTTTCGCGGAGTGAAATTTAGTCTCGCGTGTGCGCCGCTCAATGTTTCGATGAATCTCGGCGTGTATGACGAGCGCGTATTCGCGCAACGATGTACTATTAATAAAGTGCAATCGGTGGAAATAGAAAAAATTACAAATTTTGCTCAAACGAAAAATTACAAATTTTGCTAAAAGTTTCGAAAAAAATGAGGATGTTCTGGTTTTTTTGCGGGCTTTTGTTGTAATTTTTATTCTCTCTTCGTATTTTATTCTCTCTCGTCTCTCTTCGAGGGAATCTCATTTTGTGCAAATTGAACCGTACGCTTGCTCCGGAGAATAATCGCATGCGAGAAATTCTTACGGATACACTAGAGATTGTACTCGCTTCTTCTAATAACGCGTAGTAAGGCAAATTCAGTCATATCTGCAAACGTGACAGAAATATGTTCTTGAGTATCGCGATATCTATTATTGCGTATATCGTGGCGGAGAATACAGGTCGCAGCAAAGAGAATAACTCTTAAGCGCGTGCTCTTAAAATTTTACCATTGAAATCTCGGCCCGTCCGTAGAATACGACACCTTAAAAGCTCGTAGAAATTTACAGCCACCCAGTTGATACGGCTTGAACGGGGCGGAAATTACTCTTCGATTCGCACACGCATACAGCACCGCGCTCACCCTCTCTCTCTCTCTCTCTCTCTCTCTCTCCCTCTCTCTCTCTCTCTCTCTTTATCTCTCTCTCTCTCTCTCTCTCTCTCTCTCTCTCTCTCTCTCTCTCTGGTCGGCGCGACCGATATTCCACGTCGAAAGAAATATATAGGTCTCAGGATCTCGCGGAAACTTCGCCATTAGCCGCAGCCCGGAATAATTCGTCCGAGTTGCCCTTACTACAATGCGTTAAAAACAATTTCGGAAAGTTCGTGTCCTCCGGCCAGACCGGTTGCCGCGGCCGCGCTTCGTCGTCGTCGGGAGGAATGTCTTTCCGAAATCTCCCGCGTCCCGATAAGAAATCCGCGAACGGACGAACGAACGAACGAACGCGAAGTCGAAACTTTGGCGCGGGTGCGAAACTTGGAGAATTTACGAGGGCCGGCTCGGAAAATTCCGCGAGTATTACGGATGGGAAAGCGAGGAGGGCGCGCGCGCGTATCCGGAAATTGTGCTTCGATTCCCTTTACGAAGTGGCCGATATCCGATAGAACGTCAGATAGAGAAGAGGACGCGCCTAATACGTTCTGCCGGCCCGCCGGAACTTTTACAATAGCGAAATCGTCGCGATCAACACTCCCAACGTGTGACGCCTGGCCGAGCCTCATTTCGCCCCGCCCCGCCCCGCGCCGCTCCGACGAGATCATTTATCCGAATGTATCGTTCGCAGTTGACATTCGTTAAAAAGTTTGCGACGTGTTCCACGGCGCGAAGCGAACAGCCGCGGGCGCGCGATTCAATTAATTTCAGCAGTCGTAACGGAGCAGAAACTTTCCTCGCGATGCACGTCACTGGTATTTCAATAACTTTCCATCTGAAAATATTCAGCACGTGCTGCATAGTGAAGTCCTCGTTATCCGGATCACACTTGCAAACCCGGCCGCCCCCTCGCCTTTCTTCTCCCTCCTTTTTCTCCTCTTTCTATTTTCTCCGCTTCCCTTCCAGTTCGCGTGAAGCAGATTATATTCGCCGAATGAGACGTGATAGATTGATGGATGGTTTATTTATTCCCGGCCGAAGTAAACCAGCTCGAAGAACCTCTCCGATAATAATGGGGCTCGGCACGTAGCGCAAGTAAGAGTGACGTAATAAAAATGTATAGCCGGGGAAGCAGCGCATGGCCGCCGCCGCCGCCGCCGCCGATACGTCACGTGTCTCGCAAAAGACGTGGCTGCGAGAAACTGGAGAAACATTTCAGCCTGCAACATTCGCTTTTGTATCGCGTATCGGTGTCAAGGGAGACGTGTGTATGTCAGCGGCGAGATCTCGCAGCTCGTTTACGTCGAGAAACCACTGCCCAAGCGGGATATCTTTGTGTTGCAGGCGAGCGACCGGAAGCGATGCAGACCGGGACCGCGGGGCCGATACTGTCCTCGAGCTGTCTTTTGGTGTCCCTCATCATTTTGTACATATCTTCGGTGTAATCGGAAACGAGAAGAGCTCCAGCGGCCAGAGTTCACATCCGTCGCGGTACGTTGCTCTTGCGTCCACGCGAATGCAAACGAACAATTTCACTCGACTATTCACACGACGACCGCGAGGCAGCGACTGCGGTTTGTGCAGCTCGCACAAACGACTTCCTCAAAGGGGTGATCGAGGACGAACGGTTTCAGCTTTCAGCGCATTGCCTCTCCCCCTCCCCCACCCCCTCACCCTCTCCTCCTCCTACCCGCCGAAGAAGATTCGTAACGTTTTTGTAAGAGAATAAAACTGCCAGTTGCGCGAGGAAGTGGCAATTTCTCTCGACGACGCAGCAGGAGCTCTCTCAATTAATTAATCGTTACTTCTTGCAAAAGCATTACGAATTAACCAGTTATTAACAAAGCGTTACCGAGTTACCGGAGGTAACTTTCAGCAGTCGCATAGCAAAACCGCGCTGACGAGGAACGTTGGGCGACGCGAAGACCCGAAAGTTGCATCGTGCGGTTTTGCTTCACGATGTGAGTCGACACAATTATTTCCTTCTCCTTCAAAGGACGTGCTAGTCTCTTGGAATCGTGTCCAGCTCGAGCACCAGCTCGAGACTCGCATCATTTCGCTCGCAAAGTTTCAATCTTCTTCTACTTTCGCGTCGCTGAATATTCCTCGCGAGCATAGAGGCGAACCTAGTCTCCCCTGCCCCTCCCATTTTTTTAACACACACAAGAGGACGATCGTATCCGAGTTATCGTCAAGCTCACCACGTAAACCACGTTTTCTACGTCGCCATGTACGTCGTCAGTTATCGTGGCCGCGCGCCGACGTGCGACAGAAATCAAAATGGAGAGAGCGCGGAAGAGCGTGACGTGTGCCGTCGTCGTGTGCACTTCGACCACGGGCGGAATCGTGCGCGCTACCGATGTGAACGCCGTCTCGATGGAAAGGCATTTAGTTAAGCTAATGTCGATGCTAATGCCGGAAGCGCGGGGGTGCTTCGCGGTGGATCCGGCGCGCGACGGCCAGACGTGCCGAAGAACCGGCGTCGTCGTCATCTCGCCGTTGCCGTTGCCGTTGCCGAGCCGAGGTCGAGCCCCTCGATAATCCAGGTAATCCGCATCGAGAGAAACCGATTTACGAGAAGCGTAAAGGAGGCGAGGAGCGATTGCCTGACACGGTACGTTTTACGAGCGGTCGAATCTTGGAGATGCAAGCTACGTTCGATGGGATCCAATGGAAAATAAAACGTGACTCGAGTGCTCGATCCGGCAATTTTCCGTATTTCATAAAATCGCTGCGCGATAATCGGCTGTACCCTCACATACTTTCCGCCGCCATTCCGAGTCCCGGTGGCTCCTCTCGCGCGATTTTATAGCCCGTTGCCGAGCCCGTTGGCGAGGGCGTGTCGTTCGAGTGCTCCCAGCGATTACTTTTATTGCGTTTGCAAATTCGGTAGGTCGGATCGGCGTTTGTGCTGTAAATGCGACAACGTCATTTTTTGGCCTTTTGCGAGGAGCTGAAGAAGGAGCTGATAACGCGAATCCGACCACGTACGGATTCCAACGCGGCGAAGCGCAGACGCTCAATGAAGCATCGATTTTATATTGACCCTCGCATCGCAAATGTTTCGTCATTCTGCCAGCAACATCAATTACCGACCGAGTGCGAGTCGGGTAACGGCAAGTTGATCGGTTTGGATAATTGAAGTCATCAGGGTGATATCAGATACGTTTCGAACATACCTCGAGTAAGCGACGACACGAGAGACATTTTCAGTGTATAAACGTATAATTAAATATCTGTGATACACACAAAGCGCGATTGATAATACAAGTATTAAGGCTAGGCGGGTTAATTTGCATATTGTGAAGAACGCGTGTACGGATACGTGTTGGTTCCAGTTTCACGATTAAATTCGCGAAATCAATGGCTCAATGCGATCCGCATTAAGTCGGTTAAAGTAGCCCCATTGTGTACGACAGGCACTTCGATTACGTCCTAATTTTCTATCGTCCCTAATTAGCGCGTTAGTCGGCGCAACGTTGAAACACTATAGAGACAATGATCGCATGGACGCAGTCGACTATTCGACACTCGACGTTCGATTTCCGTGTTACAGCCGTTCAAATTAATCGTCATCAACGACCGGGACTTCAAACATGTAGGAGTTATGAAATGTTAATGAGGAGATTAATCGTCGTGTTGTTTCTCTCTCGTGATTAAATAAGCGCGGATACCATTCGGTGTCCGGTGAATACGGGAAGAATTGACAAAAGTACATCCAGAGAGACGGAAGAGAGGATAGTTGTCTAACGCGTATGCGCTGTATTGTATAAAACAGACAGACACGCGCGTGGATAACAAGAGAGCGCAAAAGAATAATTTGGAATAATTGAGCGTTCATTAAAGCGTCGTGCGATCGAGCGGCGGCGGGAGGTGCAATTAGCGAGGATAAATAGCACTAAACGCGCGACATACGCGCGTAAAAGTTAATCTTACGATCGCAAATAAACGAGAGTGAAACACTCGAATAATTGAATCGGTGTCCGGCGTGCGTGGAAATTTAATACAATAATCGCCAGCGATTATTGCGAACCGCGCATAAATAAGCATCCTATCAGTGAAAACAATGGCGGGGCACGCTTCGAAATTTCGACACGGCGAATAGAGCGTCGGCTAGCCCCAAGGAAAATATGCACAGCGCGAGTAATTCCCTCCCGATATACGTTAGCATTAATTTTGCGAATGGCTTGCCTCCGATTGTTTTTTGCGTTATTCGACGATCGCGCGCCAATTGCCGCGTCTACGTTTAATTGTGCGTCTACGGATGCGTGAGCGAAACATATCGGATCGCGCGAATCGTCGCTTGTCTGGAAGAACGCGACTTTACCGTGGGAAAGTTTATTTTCCACAAACTGTGCCGGATTCGCGATATTAACCGCTTTAATCCTTTATATCTTGACGGTGCTTAAAAGTATCGTTCTGCATTCTGAACGCTCGTACGTTTTTAAACTTTTCTCTGTATCTCACCCTACATTCCTATCGGTACTTGCAAGCATCGCCTTAAAATTTAATCATTAAATTGTTATAAAATTGATTTTTCTATTTCCTACGTTTAGAACATGCCAAAAGCCATTTTATTGCAAACATTTAATAGGAAAGCCTCGAGTAAATTAATTCGGGATACAAGTGATTAACGACGTTAAGCTGCAAATTATTCGGTATAGGAAAAATTGCTGCCGATATAACGTAACACTCGACGGCACGGCAAAGAAAGCTCCGAATCAAGTGAGAAGAGCACACGCAAAGTCTCTCTTCATACTTCATTTTTAGGCGTGCAATTATCCGACCACAGACCAACCCCAATCTCGTTGCTCCAATTAAATTCGTGGATACATCACCGCAGAGAGATTGCGAGAGGGAGAGGGAACCGCACAGCTCGTAATATCAGAGCAGGTATCGATGGAGCATGGCTCCTCTGAATGTATCATTTAGTCGCCAGAAGGCCCGAAGTAATTGATCAAACGTCGAGCACTCCCGTCACCGTTTGTCCCGACATCATCATCGCGACCTAACGATCGCAGCTACGCGGGCCAACGATCCAACAGCCGGATGCGAGAACGGGCGCACAGAGAGAGAGAGAGAGAGAGAGAGAGAGAGAGAGAGAGAGAGAGAGAGAGAGAGACTGGAAGACGGAATCGCGGAATCACAGAAGTGTTTCGCGTGCTCGTCGCGAATGGATCCTGGCGATGATACCTGACCGTGACGCACAGACACGCACTCGCCGGCCTCAAGGAGGCACGTATCATGATTACAGCCTATAATAGCGGCCGTAAATTCACTATCGGACGAATGCGCCGGGTCTCCGCTTGGCGTTTCATCGACAAGCGTCCGCGCCGCGACGCCACCGGCATTAGCATCGCCGTGTCAATCGCGAATCTGTACATAGAGTCTGTATTATATAACTCCGTACGACACATCACACTCACACTCACACGCCTTGCGCGCCGCATGGAAACTTGGGCGCGAGCCGATCCTCTCCCTTCGCTCTACCATGAACCGTATAGGGGAACCGCGAGTTTCCCCGTTGCGGCGCGGCTTCGACCGCGAACTCACTCGAACGTGCGCTCAAGAGAGAGAGAGAGAGAGAGAGAGAGAGAGAGAGAGAGAGAGAGAGAGAGAGAGAGAGAGAGAGAGAGAGAGAGAGAGAGAGAGAGGAAGAGAGAGAAGGGGGATGATTTTCACTTTCTATTTGTGTGTGTTTCGATGTGACATCCTGCCGGATAGCACTGGCGAGCGACGAGTGACCTCTCCGGCGCAGAGGGAAGCCTTACGAATCCGCTTTGGCGCACGAAGTTTCGCCTCGCTCGGCCTCGGCAAACGAAATTTCTTCCGCTGCGGCGACGCAGGACGACGATAATTGCTCGCGTTTCGAACCACCGCGTTATCGTCGTCGTCGGGTTCGTTTCGTCAGAATCGCTTTTCCGACATTTTCACTCTTTCACGCGGCAACACGCGTGTCGGGATGTCAGCGCTTGAGCGGTGATTTCGATGTTTGAACCTCGAAACGATGCTCGACTCACTTTTGCAACAGCAGCAGCATCGAGTGACTTTTTATCGGAAAATTGAGAATGACACAGCACACATGCGTGACGCTGTGAATGCTCACATTGTTCCTTTGCTCGTTTGCTCCATTTGCAAATTTGCTTTCCGAGAGAAGTCGGGGCTGGGCAAGGTCGACGAGAGAAATCGCGGCTCGTCAGTGCGATCGGACAGTATCGAAAGTATCGCTCGGGCCATCGGCGCTCGACGAAAACAAAGCCGCTCGCATCTTTGCGCTCCTACGCAAGTCCCGATGAAATGGCGAAGTGGACGTTCATCCGGTGTCTGGCAGGGGGTTGCTTGCGGCGACACGGATGATCGTCCGTCAAAGGCGACTTAAGCAACGCGATGAGTCGAGGAGGCGACGAAGAAGCACGACGACGTCGTCGTTATTCTCGCAAATAGGAGTCTCCAACTCGAGGGTCGCGCGTAAACATTTTTAATTCTACCGCCCACAATTTGCCGTCATTCCGAAAATCTGTTGGATTTTTCTCTGCTTTCCGCTTCATTCGTCGCGCGGGGTCGCAAGATCGCCCGCACGAAATTCATCGACACGCTTCTCCGGCATTTTATTCACCCGCCGAAATCTGAACGCGTGATGTGTGTTGCACACAAAGGGGCAGAATAATGAGCGAAAGCGGGTGCGAGAGGCGAGATTTCTCGGGCGGAGAAATCTCGAATCGGGTGCCGTGTTTGTTAGCTCGCTGCGCGAACCGCGGAAAGGGCACGCGATGTCGAGAGAGAGAGAGAGAGAGAGAGAGAGAGAGAGAGAACGCTATCGTGCGACAAGGGAGATAATATTTCGGAAGTTCTCTCGAGGGACGAGCGCACTAGAGTTACGCTTACGCGTGTGCGCTTCGGCGCTCGAGTATACCGCTCTTGAAGACAATGAGAAGTCGGGAGAAAAATAATTGCGCACGGGCGGGGACGGGGACGTCCGGGCCGAAACAAAAGTTTGCCGGCATTTTTCTTCCTTTTCGGCGGAACTAGGTGTAAGAGATAGGGAGCACGCCGTCGAGTCGCGGAACCGACTCCGCAATGCGTGCCGCATCGATTTTCCCGTTAACCGGTCGGATGTTTGGGAGACGTATCGGTAGTCCCAGTTATTCCGCTTAAATACGGGACTAGCAAATATGTGCTGCAGAGAGAATTCGACGAGGCTTTTCTCTCGCTGCGAGAGTTGACGAGAACTGAGTTTGTCAGCCGTCTCGACGCACACACCGGCGCGTGCGGATGATCACATAAAGACCCGACTAGAAATTTTGATCAGGTTCACCTAACATGGATAAGTACCTAATAGAGTGAATGAAAGGTAATCCTAAGTAAGTCAGTCGTTATAATGTCCTAACGATGACCTAAATGAGTAAGGAAGACCTTTATAAGATTATAATGATTGGGTCCACATTAGGACTTTAATGTACCAATCTAGTGTATGATATAATATGGGTCAGTTAATCAGGTCCTTGTCGGGATCTTATTCATTGTATCTAATATGATGTGCATTATCAAGTTTTAACAAAACAATTTTTGGGTGTCATTTCATCAAATATAAAGATGTTTGCATTGAAAAAATAGATTCACTTCAGATCACTTGAATATATTTGTAAAATGCTATAGAAACTATCTAAACTTTTTTTAGCAGTCAATAAATAGTTGTAAAATTAACGTGACATGCAACTTTTCTCTTTATGTCTCGTCACCTTGTGATACTTTGTGATCTTATGATATTCATTTTATGTTTCTTTTCCGAAACATTTTACAAGTATGCTCAAGCGATCTAAAATATTATTTCATGCAAATATCCTTTTATTTGGAAATGACATGAAAGAATTTTCAGCGTGTCATTTCTTATTTCTAATATCATCATCCAATATAGCCGTGGCGAGTAATCAGGAGGCATAATTTGAAAAGAAAAAACGTAATAAGGATTCCATAAGGTAACTCAATAAGGATCTGACTATGAATTCTTACTAAGGTCCTGATATCCACGCTGCGTTGCATGACTTACTAGGATAGCCGATAGTATTACCTTATTGGGACCTGATGTACAAATGAGGTTAACCTGATCAGGACGATGGGATAAATTTCTAGTCGGGGAAGCACGTCGCCTTTCGTTCAATCTCGTGTTCGCATTTGCAACTTTGTTAGGTGATTTTTCCGGCTTCCCCTCGATGCGCATTAACGCGCCGACGCTGCGGATCACGCGGAAATAAAATAAACGCGCTACTTCCCTCGTTCCGAGAACTGCATTTGCGCGAATCGGAATACGATAGATGTATAGTTTAGCCTCGTTTGTGGAGCTGCGTGTTACGCAAATCCTATTGCAATTCACTGTCCTATTACCCATATCATCAATAACGCTAGTTAAATCGGCGTCCTCTCGTAAACGAGCACTCGTCCGAAAATACATTTCATTGGAAAACTAATTACTCCATCTAATGCGTGTTGAAATCATTAATGGGCAACGATATGGGCGAGATATTATATTTTGATTATTATCCTAATATGCCCATTTATGCTCCATTTATGCACGTATACGGTTGTACATTTTTTCAAGATGCACCGAGCATGCATTTTTTCGTGTCTCTCTCGTTTCGGTTTGAACGATTAACTTGATCTCTCTCTCTCTCTCTCTCTTTCTTGATCACCTCAAATCGTTATCTCGAGTCATGCGATAAAAATTGTACGCTAAAAATTAGAAATAAGCGTGAAAAAATTTGGCTGTGATGAATCAGCTTGCGAGAAGAGTATTAGTGTGTCATTTCTATTTCTCTAGTTGGTTTGTTTCGATCTACAAGATATCACGAATTAACGAGTAAGGCTACTTGTAACGATCAACGCGCAGTGCACAAAAAGGCCAAGTTTCTCGAGTAAAGACGCGTCGCGTGGAATTTCGCACTCTGTTGATACTTGTCTTGGCTGCAATCGCGACTCGGTCGCGATTCCTCCCTAATATAACTTAAAACGAATCGCCTTCCCTTATTAGCGCATAACGATTAGCCGGGCCGTGCATTCGGGGCAAATCCAAAATCAAATGCGATTTCGCGCGGGCCATTACGCGGCATTCATCATCTTCCAAATGCAACGCGGGCGCAATTATTGTCCGATCCGGGCGGAACCCTGGCAACAGCGACCGCGCCAAACTCGGATCCCTCGTCCCCGCCCCCCTCCCCCTCCCTCTCTCCTGCACGATTCCTCGCGGAATATTACTTCCTAATAATACGAATTATCGGATGAAAGGCCCGTTTTATTACGCGACGCGCGTGTACACGCGAGCGAAATCACGCGCCGAGCGAGTGTCGTGACCGGGTATCGTATCAGGCATCGCGTGGCTTCGCGCAAAATCCGACGTATAGACGGGAACTGATGAAACTTAAACTTCGGACCGTCTGTCAACGGACGGAACGTCGCGGAACAATCGTGCGACAGTGATGTATGTCAATTTTTTTACGGTCGAACAGACAACCGGATGATATCCTCGTGCAATGAGTTTGGCGACTTTTTCCTAACGAGAACGTCAGAGAAGCTCGTTATTTGTGGACTCGTTACCAACGGCGTGTGAGCGTTTGTCTCTTGCTAAGCTTGTAAAAAATTTCAAGTTCAATCAGAGTCGACGGCAGAGAAAGATCCTCCGTCGCCCCGGTTTCTTCTCCGAGAGATTAAAAAAAATTCTTGCTTTCAATCGACGACCTCTCGAGAGGCCAGCTTCGTCGACGAAAAAAAGATCAACTCGAAACCAGGCAGAAATGATCAGGCAGAATGGTGAAAGGAACGGCCGATGACTCTCGGAGACTCTCCGTACATCGCGTGAAATGTATGAATCGGACGCGTCCCAAATTCCTGGCTCCGCGGACCGCAGAATGAGGTAAACGCGGCACGTTGCTCCAAACTCGGAAAGACTAAACGAATTCGAATTTTGTTCATTCCGCGTGGTCGGCCGAGTCGAGAATTGAATTCCAGGCGCGAACGGAATCCAATTCGAAGTCCGTGGTTGTCCGCGAGCCGTCTCCCACGTCCTCTCATCCTGATCTCCTAACTTGGTAGGAAACTTCGCGCGCAGCCCGACGCGATCGTTTTCCTTCCTGCGTCTTCACTTTCCATCGTCGCGCACCTGTCTTCCCTCGATACAGACGCGCACGACTGCTTCCCCGCTACAAATACAATGCGAATGCTGCCGCGAATTTTAGCATTGTCACGGCACCGCAGCCCGCAATTACCCGCTTGTACATACGTAAATACGCGATCTGCAAGGGACATCCGAATGGAGAGAATCCGACGCTCGAATTCGCGAAACTATGGCAAGCGCGAATACTTTTCACGGAGAAAAATTGGGGAGGGAGATTTTCGCGATAAAGCGCATCGCTCTCGCCTCTCTCGACTCGTCCGCATCGCGACGCTGCGTCCAATTTGCGCGCGCTGCACACTTTACTGCGAGCGCGAGCGCGCGCGTCCGAAATGCGTGAAAAATCGCGATAGCGACGCATGATAGGCGCCAAGAGAGAAACTAATCGTTAACTAGAACGTGAATTATTCGTTAACGAAAGTGCGCTCCGACAAACGATGCGACGGACT